ACCTAGAAGTACTGGAGACATGGGCACAGGGCTGAGTGGTAGAGAAGACCAAAAACATTGGGGTCAGGGAAGCCTCCATGTGTGAGCTTGGAGATGGCCCACATCCTCAGTGTGAAATGGAAGGCTTCCATGCATCCTGGGGACCTAGTGACCCCCATGGCCAGCAAAATGGTGTTCAAGTGAGGTACTAGTCCTTCCCTACAGGGCAAGGGGGATCCTCCATGCCACCTGTGGGAAAGACACTAGCTGCTATGTGTTGCCTGGCCAAGTTCTTCACATGCCTTCCTGTAGTTTTGCACAACAGCTCTGGGAGACTGATTATATATGAGCCCATTTTGTAGATGAGGGAAATTTAATTTTTTTTATTGTAAAGATACTGTATGGAGAGTTAGGAAGTTGGTTCAGTGGAAGAGTGCTTGCTTCGCATGCATGAGGCCCTGGGTTCGATTCCTCAGTACCACATAAGTAGAAAGAAAGCCAGATGTGGCACTGTGGCTCAAGTGGTAGGGTGCTAGCCTTGAGCGGAGAGCTGAGGGACAGCGCCCAGGCCCAGAGTTCAGCCCCCACGACTGACAAAAAAAAAAAAAGATACTATACAGAGGGGTTACAGTTATATGAGTAAGGTAATGTATACATTTCCTATTGAGCATTGTTACCCTCTGAAGGAAATATTTTTGTTTTTTGGTTGGTCATGGGGCTTGAACTCTAGGCCTGGGCGCTGTCCCTGAGCTCTTCAGCTCAAGGCTAGCTCTCTACCACTTGAGCCACAGTGCCACTTCAGCCTTTTCTGTTTATATGGTGCCAAGGAATTGAACCCATGGCCTCGTGTTTGGGAGGCAAGCACTCTACCGCTAAGCCACCTTCCCAGCCCCTGAAGGAAATATAGCTGATAGGTAGAGACACTGGGATTTTGCATTCTCGTCATTGTGGCTTTAAATTGAGTCTCAGACTTGAGCACCATTTATTGCTGGGCTGGTTGGAACAAGAGTTTGCAGGGCCCCTCACTCAGCATCTCCAGTTCAGTATGTGTAAACTGGGGGGACCTCTGTAGACCCTACTCAGCCCTGGGAGCTTCTTCCTTGGGTAGAACTACCTCAGTCTTTAGCTGAGCACCAGGCTGTATCTGCTGCCTGCTTGCCAGTCAGCTCTCTGTGGCCAGTGGGAGCTGAGGGTGTTTTAGGCACTGTCCACCAGAGATGCTTCTGCATATGTTCTCATACTTCAAGGCCATTGTCCAGCAGAGAGCACAGCTGAGCCTCTGGCACTCAGAGGCCCGAGGAGACCTCTCTCTTGGAATGCTGGCTCTGCCATCTCCTCCTTTTTGTCACATCATTACAAACCCATGTATGCTAGACCAAGGAGGTAGGCTGCTGGGGTGCAAATCTCTTCTGTGCTAACTATGATCTCAGAGGGCACTGCCTGCTTGGGCTCAGCCTCCAAGTGGGACTTGTGCTCCACTCTGAGGGTCCTCCCTGCCAGTCTGTCTCAGTGTAGCACAAGCTGCCACCGATGCCTTCCAGATCTTTGCAGCTTTCTATCCCAGACTGTGCCCGCCTGCAGTTCCTCTTGCCACGTCCTGGGCTTGCTGCGTGCTGGCAGGGGTGCTAGATCACCAGGCCGCCACTTCACACTTCAGGATAAAAATAGCCCTGCTGAGGTCTTGGTGCAGCGTGTACGTGTCCAGAGCTTTTGTCTGATCTCATGCAGGCTCCAAGGCCCTGCTGGAGGACACACGGCCAGTACTGCATGTGTTTTTGCAGGGGCCACATTTGACATGGTGTTGGCTTTCTGTAGACAACCCTCACCCTGAGAGGACCTCACAGCCTCACCATCCCTGAGCCTGCTTGATTGCCCCGCCAGAGACTGGATGGTCCTGACCTTCCTGCTCCCAGCCATGACTTGGATCTGGGGCCCAAAGACTACTTGACTTCCTCTTTAGTGTTTGACAGAGTTGCTGCTTCACACTTCCAGCCCTGGCCCAGCTATAAGGACTCCAGTATTTTCCCTGGGGCCTCTTCTTCTCTGGCTATGGCCTTGAGGCTAGGCCCTATTTTCTTCACTGGGGCAGCATCTTGGGCAAAGACAGGAAGATGCACAACATGAGGGATGGGGTATGAAGGAGACTTGCATGTAGAGACTTGCTGAGATGTTTGAGCCAGTCATGGCTGACAGGGAACTGCTTCCAGGGCTAAGATACCATGCTCCTTATTTTTCTGCTTAGAAGACAGCCTGGCTCTTGCAGGAAATCTCAAGGCAAAGGCAAGAGTAGATAGTCTGGGCCACACACAGTTGCTCACCCCTATAACCCTAACACTTAGTAAGCTGAGGCAGGAACAGAGGTTGGAGGCCAGCCTGAACTACATAGTAATATTCTCTCAACAAAAAGCCAAAGACTGTGGGGAGTTAGGGGTTGGGGGGGGGGAGGTAGAACAGTGGCTAGAGCACTTTTCTGTTGTGTATAAGTCCCTGGATTCAATCTTCAGACTTGGGAGGGGGATAGAATAAAAAGAAGCTCTGTTTCAAAGGCACAGGACCTAGACCCATGATGGGGTCCACAGATGCTCTGCAATGAGAAAGGCATCAAAGCACCTCAATCCCACACTGCCACTGGGCCTTCCCACTCTGTCCTCTGATGACTGCCAAGTCATCACTTCTCCTGTCCCATCATTGGGGAGGTAGCCTTGCCTCGTCTATTCTATCTGAGGATGGGTATGGTATCTGACACAACCATTCTTCCCAGGTAGAACCAGGACTGAGCATTCTTGGGCAGACCGACAAGTTGGTTGGAGTGAATGTTTTGCGTTCAGGCCTGGGACTTCAAGAAATCTGCTATTTAGATGTGGCTCCAGTGACAGACTAGGCCACAGTTGGGGGCATAGACATGGCAAGGATGGGCTCAGGGCTCATTCGCCATTGGCAACTCATCTCTTCTGTTCACCCAGGCCACATGCCTGGAGACCCCCTCTGCTGCTTCAAGGCTAGAGCTACCCAGTGCTGGGGCATTACATGGTGCATGACACATACCACTATCCCACTGTCCTGCCATAACCCGGTGATCGGGAGTTGGTAGAGATTGCTAGAGCATGTCTTCCACTAGTTATGGATGAACTTTTCTGGGCCAGTGTTGGGTCAGGTTGGAGAAGGCAGGCTACCAGTGGCAGCGAGAGTATGCGTCATAGCTTCTGAGTCCATTCCTAGGGGTGAGATTACATAGTTATCCTTTACACAGACACTAAAGTTTAAGGAAAAGATGGTTTTCAGTTTTACTCCTGATGTCAGCATGGACAAGACTCAGTGATTTACATCCTTTCTAACTTGTAGTATTGCCAGAGTTCTTAATTTTTGCCAACCACATGGTTGCAAAGTGGCATTTCACTGTTGGTCCTGATTTGCATTTTCCTAATTACCAGCCATGTTAATTACCTTTCTGTGTGTTTGCTGGCTGTTTGCGTTTTCTTTTCTGGGTGACGTCTGTTTGCTTCTTTGCCTCTGTGTGTGTGTGTGTGTGTGTGTGTGTGTGTGTGTGTCTGTCTGTCTGTCTGTCTGTCTGTGTCTGTGTGTGTGTCTGTATGTGTGGGTGTGTGTCTGTGTGTGTGTTTTATATTGCTTAGAAGATATTTAGTGTCCTTGTGATGAATCAGGTGGAAGGGTTTGGGTATCTGCCATGCACTCCCCTTGCATGTGAGATAGTGGAAGCATCCTTGATAAGCAGAGTAGAGGAGCTATATTGCCTCAAATGGAGGCAGGGGAGACTTGGGCCACTGAAGGTCTGTCGGGTTTGAGGGTGGCAGGGTGAGATGAGCACAGAGCCCTGTGTCAGTGCAGGCCTGGGTTTAAATTCTGCTTTTGTCACTGACTACTAACCATGTCTAGTTAGGACTTAGCTTCAGTTTCTTCTTCCTGAAGAAAGACCAGTAAGAAAGCCCCTTCCCAGGAATTGGGGTGGGGGAGGTATGTTACACCAGCAGAGTCTCTGCACTCCCTGCCAGGAGGAGGGAGATACAGATGGTACTGTCTTCCGAAGGTTGACTTTGTAGGAGACAGCAAAGAGACATGTTTCACATCTCTTGTGGAGCTGTCAGTAGCAGGAGTCTGCCACCCTGGGCAGGATGGGTCCTACTGCTGTGTAGACAAGCAGTTCTGTTTAAGTGATGAGCTTGCCAGGGAGTGAATGGACAGCCTAGGTCAGGACCTGAGACTGGCGGATGTTTCATGCCGGTGTAATTTCCTGCCTGCTCTAGCACCTTGGCAGAGCCTATGATAGCCAGCATCTTTTATCACTGGGAGTGCATCCTGTCTTGATAGTCTGGCTAGTGAGAAGCCACCCACCTTGCCACAGCTGAGTAGCATGGGGCTGAATCTGACTTGTTCTGTGGTGGCCTCAGGTACAGTGGCCTCAGGAATTGCAACAGGGATTCTGAGGTGTAGTGAGTCCTGTGTCTGGATTGTTCCATCCCTCTGGCCCCAGGCTGCAGCCCAGATGTGTTTACAGGAACTCTTGGTCAGTGAGAGGCTCCTGTGCTCCAGCCCAGCATGGTCTCCTCTGGTTCCCATGGTCAGGGACTTCTCATGCCACTCTGCACTAAGAGCAGAGGAACTTGAGATTTCAGCCTGTATCAGCATGGCCTCCCTAATCAACTTTTATAGAATGTGAGCCTGTCAGGTAGAGGGGGACAGTTCCTTAATTATCAGAGTGCTGCAAGTCCCTCCTGGGGACCTCCCTTTCTGTCTGAGACCAGGCCCAGGGCTCAGGCTGGACTTGGGGTGGTCAGGTTGCTGCTAGGTCAGCTACCATCTCTAGACAGAGCCCTTCTTCCCCCCATCACCCCAGGCCAGTGACAACTTGGCCCTGGCTGACTGGTAGCTGCTCTAACTCCAGACCCATTGACTCAAATGGGAGTAGAGGCCATGGGAGGGGGAGGGAGTCCCTTCCTTTTCTAGAGCCCTGGGAGGACATGTGGCTTGATCCTTCCTCTCACCTTTGCCTTTTTGTCTTACAGGTTCAGCTGTCTCAGGCCCTGGAGGAACTCGGAGGCCAGAAACAGAGAGCTGATACAGTAAGTCCTGACATAGCTTGCTTATTGCTTGTGACAAAAGGCAACCTGAGGTTTTGGCTGTCTAGAGTCCTGGATCTCAGACATGCAGGAATCCCAGTCCTGGGCCGGGAATGAACCAAGTCAGAAGTGGTGCTGTGGCTCAAATAGTAGAGTGCTAGCCTTGAGCAAAAGAAGTTCAGGCCCTGAGTTCAAGTCCCAGAACTGACAAAAAATATTCCAGTCCTATCCCCAGCAGGACCTGTCATACAGGCAGTGCTCTTCTGTGATAGGAAGATGTGGTGTGGAAAGGGCGTGGGTTTGCTGTGGAGACTGGCTCTCCTTGCCCTGCTGTGGGATGGGGAGCTTGTTAGGGCTGGAGGCATTAGAGGGCTGTTTGCTGTCCTCTTACTAAGTGCTAAAGGCCATTCTTATCTCCACTGGGACACATTGCTGTATCATCAATGTGGTGGGGGGGGGGAGTTGGGGGTCAAATTACATAAGCAGAATCCAGGGCAAGATATCCACTGGTAGTGGGTGCTGAAGGTAGCACTGTGGAGAGAGGAACAGGTACCTGGGGCCAGTTCACAAGGAGCCTTGAGTTGAGGCTCCAGTGAGCTCAGTGGGTAGTAGGGGCGGAAAGCAGAGACAGTAGGTTCCAGAGCTAGGACTAAAAGGGACTTGGAGAATTCTGAGGACCATGGGGTTTGGAGTTGGGGAGGTAGGGATTGGGTTCAGCTTCAGGGAAAGTGGCTGCAGGAACATGAGGGTGGGACATGAGGTAGGGGTGGCATTCTGGCCTGGGTAGGCACCATGAGTTTGGAAGGAAGGGGCATCTTAGGACATCTTAGTGGACTCTGGGGCCAGCCCCTTGTGATGGGCCACTGGTCCAGATGTGCTCTTAGTTTCTGGTGGTGCTTTCATCCCTGGAGAAGTGAGCCCTTTCCAGAGTGCACCTGCATGCAGGCGTCTGGTCTCTGTAGCAGAACAATTGCCCTACCAGGAGGGGCTGACAAGGGATCATGACCCTTGGGTCTGGAGTAGGCATCTTCTCTCTGGTCCTTGTCAGTGTGGCCAAGGGCAGGCCAGCCCAATTCATTGGTCTGTAGAATGGACATCCTTATGCAGGAGTCAGCTCTGAGGGCTAGGAAAGTGGCAGAAGCAGAACGGCAAGCTCAGTCTCAGAAAGATTTGCTGTATCCTCAGTTGGCAGATGTGCATGCTGTTGTGCTGAGGGGTCTTTCCAGGAGGCACAGGGGTGGGGCTATTGGTAGGATACCAGGGCAGGTGGCCATCTGTCCTTATCCTCCTCTTCCAAAGGGGTGAGGAGTCAGCAGCAACAGAACAGAAGCACTGCTGTAGAGGTGCTTGGGATCTGGCAGCCATTGAAGGTGTGAACTTGAGGCAGCTGGGCAATACTGCTTGTTGACCACACTTAGAAGCTTCGAAGCCCCTTAGGTACAGAACAGATGATTGGTGGTACTGGCTGATGAGAAGATAGGAGGGGGAAGGTGACCCTGGGATGTGGCAGTAGAACTGGCTATAGCACAGTGTGTATGCCAGTGTAGTCATGTTTATGCATGTGCGTTGTCACTCTAGGCTGATCAGGTTTATCTTTAGGTAGTTGGAGCACTTGTTGGCTCTTGTTTGCTCTCTGTATTTTCTGCAGGGAGCATTTATTACTGATGCAATTCAAGGGCACCAGTCACACTGTGTTATTTCATGCAAGGTCTGAGGTTCAGCTTCAAGCAATTGTCCAGGATAGTCAGCACCATGACCTGAAAGAGGTCAGTCTGGGTGGGGCAGAAGCTTAGGTGGACCCAGGTTTGTCTGCCTTCAGTGAGCAAGAGGGGTTCTGTCTGCTCTAGTGCCCCCTGTTTCATCTGCACAGTGCTGGGCATGAGGCAGCCAGTGAGTACAACAGACAGCTCAGCTTCTCCAGGATATTGACTCATGTGCCTCGTCCTCTTGCCCTCTGGCTCCTTCAGCCAATGGCTTGTTTCATGGTAACTTGGAGGAAGCTGGGGTTGAGGGATTTTTCTCTGAGGGCGGTGCATCCATTTGCAGAACCCCACGAGACACTGATATTCTGTGTGTCAACATGCATGGCTTCCTTGGTGTTGACCTGAATTGAAATGTGCCCGAGGGCCTTGTTTTCATAATGTTCATGAGGCCAAAGAGGAATTAGAAATGAGTTGTGTGAAGCACATGCCAGGCCCTGGCTTTATGGCTGAGCAACTTGCCGATTGCCCTCAGCTGTCCTTGACTTTGCAGTCCCATTTTCGACAGAAGCTTGGACACCTTGACCCTGACCCCCACCATCTCTCTGCTTTCATGTGGCCATGTGAGGAGAAACTGCTAGTCCTGGGTCCTTTCTGTGGGGTGGGAGGAGTTGGTCTTGAGCACTTTGGTCAGGTCAGATACTGGGCAGCCCCCTGCACCTCGTCATGGGGACTGTATGATGCACCTGGTGGAACACAGCCTCAGATTTGGCTGGTTCTCCCCATCTCTGTTTCTTGTTTGGAACACCTGGCTCCCAAATGATTGACAGAATTTTGGAGTCTGGCAGAATTGTGACTTCTTGCAGGTGGCTCTCGAGTTAGCCAGGTAGGCCCCTGGTTCTAGGCCTAACAGCACAACTTTCCAGCAGAGGCCTTGGGAACCATGATCAGCCAAAGCTTGCAATGAATGTGTTTGTCTACCCAACCTGTGGAGATGGAGTCCAGCAGGTTTTACAGAGCCAGTCCCTGAGCTGACATAGCCACAACCTCTCTGTCCCTCTGATACTTATAGACTGGACACTGGCCCCTCTGGTGCACCTTCTCTAGGCTTGTTTAGGGCTGAGCCATAGCCGTTTCTGCAGGTTCCTAACCTGCCCCCCAATTGCCCAATCTTTAGCTTATTTCATGTTGTTTATTTCACTCTGTCTTCTCTTTCCCAGTTAAAAGGATAATCAGAAATGGCAGTGCCCTGGGGCCAAGGATGTTGTCTGTTACATCTGTCCTTTCTGCCGATGCTCCCATGCTCAGGATATCTTTGTTGGTCAAGCAAGTTCTCTCCCTGACCTTGCAGAGGGGATGGGGGCCTGGGTCTTGGGTTTCTAGCAAGTCTGTGCTCAAGTGAGACCCTGCTCTTATTATTTGCTGGCTTTGGCTGAATCTTGACTCCTCACCTGCAGGGCTGACCCCAACCAGCTTGTTGAATCCCAGGACTAGGCAGCAACATCCTGTGGAATGGTGAGCCTTATGCAGTGTCTTAGGTGTTATTTGTAGTCCAAACTCAAAATTGAAATTCTAATTTGAGGTTTTCAATTTTGGTTCCCTTAAGTAAGCCACACAAGTGGTGCTCTGGCTCAAGTGTTAGAGTGCTAGTCTTGAGCTGAAGAGCTCAGGGATAGTGCCCAGGCCCAGAGTTCAAACCCCACGACTGACCAAACAAAAAAAAAAAAAAAAGGTAAGCCACACATAGCAGGTGGCCCTACATTGCTTGGGCCATCAGGGTAATTGACTCTCAGAATATTCTGTATTCCTTCTCCAGAATCCTGCTCTGGGACTGCCTTCCCCCTCCTTCCCTCCCAGGTCTGCTGCTGCTGATTTCCTCCACCAGAGCATCTCTTGTCTCATGATAGAGAAACCAGAGACAGAAGGGGCAAAGTACATGCAGAACAACTCATGTTTGGGAGAGCTGGTGGCCTCCGGTCTGCCTCTCAGCCCTCCCTCCTATGGGGCATGGGCACTGTAGAGTGGGCTCACTAGCCAATGTCACCTCAGTCCTGGGAAGGGACTCAGGCAGACTTCATACAGGGCATCCATGGCTCACTTGCCTGCTCCCCTGGCCTGCTGTCTTCTCACTCAAAGTGAGTTCATTAGGAGGAGAAAGAGAATTTAAATATCTTTAGTTAATTGCAGATGACAGGACAAAGGCAGTTTGACTTTCTGTTATTAATTAACAAACCCACACTAATTAGAAAGCATAAGTATAGTTCATGCTTTCTTCTTTAAATTCAATTAATATCACAAGGAAAGATGTCCTGGGCCACACTTGTGTCATTAACATACCTCACCCTAATTAGATGTGGCCAGCACTGGCTGTAGAAATGAGATTTTTGATTACAACTATAAAAAATCCTCGAATGTTTTATATACTTCAGGGAATGAGAGTGAGAATTTATTTTCTGATTTAAGTGGCATTGTGCCCTCACAGCTTGGTGTAATTAAGCAGTCATTTTCCCTGAATCCCATTTCCCCCTGATGGTTTCTCCTCATCTGGCCCTTGCCACCAGGGAGTTCTATGCCAGTCTGCTGAAGCAAGGGCCTGGCCAGGGTGGAGCTGTCCATTGCCTGCCCTTCTCTTCCATCTCTGACATGGATGTGATAGTGGCTACATGTGGGACCATCACTGCCCTTGACCAGTAATGAGCGCTTCATAGATTCCCAGGGTGATGATCCATGAACCAGACAAGGCCCCATGCCTCACATGACGAAGGGCTGGATCTGAGGACCAACTTTGATCCACATATGATCCCTGGTTTTCTATTAGCCTCTTGGAGCCCAAGTTTCTCAGTAGGAGTCAGGAACTGTGTGCTACTTGATCAGGCTCAGACCTCAATGCTGCTACTGAGCAAGGAGAATAGAGCTCTTTGTTGCTGGCAACCATTGGCAGAGGTCTGCTGCCAGACTCTTCAGACTATGGATGTGTCCTAAGCAGGTCTGGGGGAAAGTCTGAAGTCTTGGGATGGTGGCTTCCTGCCATGGAGTTACCCCATGGCTTGATCCTCAGTTGTGCCCTGGCGTTGCTGTCACTCTGCCATTTCCCCTCTCCTCCCATCTTGCTATAAGTGTATACCAGGCATCTAGGTCCCTGCTTGAGAAATGGAGATGGACATCATGCTGAGTTGGCTTGGGTGGGAGCTGGCTTGCTCTGGGACCTCTGGCTCTCCAGGTGAAGCTGCCTTATCTGCTTTGGAAACAGGAATGCTGTCTTTCTGGAATAAGTTAGGAGTATTCCCCCTAATATAAATGCTG